ATATATATATATATATATATATATATATATATATATATATATTGTGTGTGTGCGCGCGCGCGTTATGTTGCCGGGTGCCGGCCATCTCTCCGACTCACATTAGTTTTGCTGCTGCAGACTCCGGCCCCGCCGTGATTAGTGCTGGCGGCGGCCGCCCTACTGTGCGGCCACTCCGGGGTGAATTCCGGCACGTGCTTGGGTTTTTCTTGATAACCGCGAATGCTGCTGCTGTAGTTGGTGGTGTCGCAAGCTGGGACTAGGGCGTCAGTGATGACGGCGGCGGGTAATTGGTGGTGATGGTGGTTGCCTCCGTCGCCGGATTCGCGGAGGCGGCGATGGCTAGTAATAATGGCTTGGTTGACTACAGACTCGAGAGTACCGGCAACGCGTGGCTCTTCCCAACCTGGAACCAAAATGGGAGGGAGGCTGGGCGGCACCGGTGGAGCGGAGCTGTCGTTGATATCCCAACCTGCAGGAAAACAGTGACTCATTTTTCAGACAAGATACTTTTCTGCCTTGATTCTTTTTTCTTTTTTTTTGGTTAATTAGAGCAACATTTGTGATTTATAGTAGAAATTAAATCAGGAAAATAATATAATTTTAATTAACAATAAGGGTAAATTACAGCCACCTCCCTGAGTTATAGTCAAATTACAAAAAAACCCTCTTGTTTGGGTAATTAATTACAATCACCCTCTAAACTATGAATCGTCTTACACATCCACCTTTGCGGTATCATATTTAGTAGAATCTTCTAGATTATGTGGAATATTCTCCAGTTTATATCATTTTTACCCCCTTGGAGCTCCACATTTTGAAACAAGATGATCATAAGATGTGTCTCTTGACTTGTAAGTATCAGATTGTGGTGAGTCGGAAACTGCATTTTTTCACAAAACGAGTACAAACTAGAGTTAATTTCACGAAATCTATCAGATTCTTTTGAATTTGACACTATAAGGGTGGACGTGTAAGAAGACTCGTTATTGAGGGGTTGATTGTAATTACTCAAACAAGAGG